TAGCCTTTTGCCCCTTCTTCTTGAACCCCTTTCCCTTTTGAATCATAAGAACTTCTTTCTTAGGTTCCTTAGGGATTTGTTTCTCAGCACTAACCAGCATTGCATGCAATTGATTCATAGTCTTTGCAGTGGCAGTCATGTTAAAATTCATGATAAAATGGTTGAAACTTTCTGGTAGTGAATGGAGAATGATGTCTCTTGCCAAATCATCACTATATAGGTGCCCCAGTTTCTCCATACTTTGAATTAGGCCGATCATTTTGAAAACATGATCATGAATTGTGGCCCCTTTCTCCATCCTACAATCCAGAATCTCACGATGGAGCTCATACCTTTCAACTATAGCTTGTTTCTTAAACAAAGCTTTGAGTTCTTGCATGATTGAGTAGGCATCCTGGTCCTCAAAACGCCTTTGAAGACTAGGCTCCATGGTAGCAATCATTAAGAAAGTGATAGGTATAGCTCTATCATGAGCTTCCTTGTACTTCTTGATCTCTGCCGTAGTTGGATTTTCTGGCAGAGGTCCTGGCAATGGGGTGTCAATGACATCCTCTTTTCCTTCAAATTTCAGAACAAGCCTTAGCATTCTTTCCCAGTTGGAAAAGTTATCCCCTGTTAACCTATCCTTCTCAAGGAATGGTCAAAGATTGTAAACGTTGTTGTCATTGTGATTATGGCTACCCATCTATGTCAAAATAAGGCAAAGTTTAATAATTATGTTTTAATTAAAATTAAAGTACCATAAACGCATTCTTTGGTAACTTTAAAACACTTTATTCAATAATTAATTGATCCCAATTGAATTTAAGTGATTCCAAGATCCTTTAAATGTGCAATAATTGACCGGACTTTGGCCCTACCATCAACCATTACATTTTCAAGGTGAGTAAACTCTTTACTGATTACAACTCTTGTAATTCTTGGTTGAATAATTAATCATCACATGTTTAATTATTTCCCTTTGCTTCAAGGTTCTAAACTCTTTAGGTAACCTTGTTGAGCATAACCAATCAAAAGTGTAAAATTTGTTTTACCCCCACTCCCCTAAGATATAAGATGACACCCTTCTTGGGCATGACCCATCATAAATATCGAAGGTTTCATCGGGTTTCTGATTGGAAAAGCAATCTCAATATTACTGGGACCTAGATTTATTATGTTGTGATTATTTAGTGAACTCTAGCGCATCATCAATAATCAACATAAATAAAATCTAACATGCTGACAGGGTAAAGTCGTATCCCCTAATAAAAAATAATATTTAAGTCCTCTAACTTAAGCAGATAGGGAAGTAGGGTCGAACTCCACAGGGAAACAAGTCTTTCTATTCCTAATTAACTAAAATAATCTAGATTATGAAGTAACCAATATTTTTATGTGAATAATAAACTAAACTACGGAGATTAAGAATAAGGAGAAAATAATAATAAAGGAACTAGGGAATAGGTTCACCAATAAATAATACTCCAGGGTAAAACATAATAATCAATCATTGACAATGCATAAATAACATGATTAACAGGCTCTCGCAATTTATTAATCAACATAGATCTAACAGGCTCTCGCAATTTACTAGATCTAAGTTCCTATTGAAAATAGCCTTTAATATCAAATTAACATCTGCTCGATTCATCAATTCAATATTGCTATACTTTTACAAGCCATAATTGTAAAGCGTTAAAACAATTCAATAAGAAATTATCATGCAATACCAATAATCAATAATAGTCAATCATCAATGCATCAATTAACCAGATTGTAAAGGGCTTTCGCTACGTATTACAATCACACAATTAATCTACCGGTATTAAATCTCATCTCTCGAATCTCGACTTAACCATTTATAAATTAATCTGCCTATTGAAACTATACCTAAACATCAATTCTCATCTGTCGAATCTCGAATCAATATTGTCAAACTCATGCATAAAAGATAGGCCTAATCTAGTCACAGAGCATTAAATCAATCAATAGGAAACTAATCTAGCATTGATAATTAACAACAATAAATTACCCCTTCATATTATTCATGGATCCCCATAAACCCTAGAAATAAAACTACTCACACATGGTAAAAACTAAACTAATCAAAGCAATAAAATAAGACATAATTAAAGGAATAGAATAAATAACTAAGATTAAGAGAAGAGAAATAGTTACCAAAAAAATATGGAATTCAAAATAGATTAAGAACAAAGGTTTAAGAGAAAGAAATCTAAGAGAACAATTAAGAGAGTAAAGAAAGAGTAAAAGGAAAGAGAGAGAGAGGAACAAAAACGTATTACGGAGGAGTATTTATACTCCGTACAAATCCTAATTAAAACAAACTAAAACGACGCTAATCGTCTCCTAAAAATACACGCGCCCGATCGGGCGCGCCTTTTTACTCTCTAGTACTAATCTCGCGCCCGGCCGGGCGCGTCACCGGGCGACCACCTTAGCTTCTCCCGCCCGGCCGGGCGTGCCTCCGGCCGCCAGCCTCTTTGGCCGGGCGGATCACTTGGGCCACTATTTGGACTACGATTGGGCTCCATTTCTTCGGGCCAATCTGGGTTTTCTCTTCCGGTCTTGAATACTCGGTCCAAATGCCCCGGTATCACTTATACCGAGCCCTTAATCACCGGTTCGATGGCTCTAACCGGCCCTGGGCTATAAAATCTGGTCGTGCTTCTCCAATGTTCGTGATTGCTCCAACATAACTCGGGAAAATACTCCAAAAGCATAAATCCCTGCAAAAGTCAACCAAATCTACGAAAACACCAATTAGTAATAAAAGTGGCTCTAAAGAGCCAAAAACACTACTAATTACGACCAAGGGACGGGGGTAAAATACTATATAAAATAGACACATCACATGCATAATCTACTAATGCAATAAAGCATGACATAATATGGCCCCTTAGTACTAAGAAAACTAGAAATGAAAATGCTCCCACTTGAATCATCATGGATCTCCATCCACTTTGCTCCTTTGGGCCTTCACTTCATGGGCTTCTTTGAACTAACACTATTTAAATAACTATTCTATTTACTTTAAATAAAAGTTACAAATATACTTAACCGTACGCAGACCGTATTTAGATTACAAAAATACATCACGATGCGCATATCGTATTTAAGAATTATGGGCCATACTAGTCTATATATAGCAACAAAATATCATATATTATAATCTATGGGCCATACTAGTCTATATATAGCAACAAAATATCATATATTATATAAAATTGCCATATAATAAATCACTCAACATGCTTGTCTAAATTACAACATCGAATGTTCATAATAAAGTCAACGTATTTCCTAAAATATCTCATATTTTAATCATAATTAGATAATATCATATATTATTCATCACCGTTTATAAAATATCATATATTTAATTAGATAGAATCAAATCATATTTTAATCTAGAAAGATAAATCATATTTAATCTTCCATGATTATCCTAACAAATTTAGGAGATTCTATCCTAATTACTAACCAATCAAATAATTATAAAATCAATTATATCCTAATCTAATTATGGGATAATCACATTATTTAAATCAATTATTATCCTTTTGGAATATTCTCAGAATATCCTAATCAATCTTATCCAAAACTAACCACTTTAATTAGGATAATTACCAATTTAACAACTTTAAATATGGATAATATCCAATGTAAAAACTTTTGAATATTTGATTTTATCCTAAAATAAAAGATTTTATCCAAATAAAATCGATTTTATCTTTTAAAATAAAAGATCATATTTTCAAAATATTTTAACTTATCCAAAATAAATCACATTTATCTTGAATTAATTTTTAAAATAAGAATTTTTTTTTTGAAAATGAGCCACCACCGCCGGCCACCGTGGTTGGCTAGTCGAAGCTAGCCACGGTGGCTGGCTGCCTTGATGGCATCCACTGCCGCAAGGGTAGCAGCGCGGAAGCAGCGCCAGTAGTCGTGCAACGCTTACACGCTGCTGCCCACAACCACCATCGACCGCTTGCCCTCCCTCCCTCCCTCTCGGACTGCCACCTGGTCGGCAGCCGCCGTGGCTACGCCACCCAACTGCGGTTGCCGACCTTAAATTAATTTTTTTTTTTTGTTTTAATTTAATTAAAATAACACTTATCATAATTAAATTAAATCAGTCCATAAGATTAAAATTAAATCATATTCAACTTTAAAATTAGGGTTCATCATAAAATCAATCCCAATTTAATTCTAACTTTTAAAATTAAATTGATCATCATACATAAAACATTTTTAATGCATAAATCAATCTGATTAAAATTATAAATTATAAAATAAATCGAATTAAATCAAAATCAAGCACAAAAATCATATTTTAGGGCTAGTATTTTCGAAAAAAATCGAAATTAGGGTTAGGGTGTTCGAAATTTTCGAACATATTAGGGCTAAAATTCGGTCATCTTCATGGCTATTTGAGCATAATTAAATCACATTTAATCGATTCCAAAAGTTTAATCACATTAAATATAATAATTGATACATAATTAAATTAATTTCTCCCTCTTAATTGATTATAAAATTAACCGCGATCACCACCTTTACGGACAACCGACCACCACACGAACCACCACCACCGGCGTGAGGAGGAGGAGAGAGCCGTGAGAGAGAGGACTATGAGAGGGGTTGGGTTTCGTGTTTGCTAATTCGGGTTTGATCACACTGATCAGTTAATTGCTTACTTGCAAACCTAAGCACCTAGTCTATTTATAATCCTATTATAATTAGACTAGGGCACGAAGCCCAAAACCCTCTTATCCACTCCATATGGCCGGCCACCTAGAGTGATGAGGCCCATGATGGGCCTTGTCCTCTAATGCTCGATCTAGCCCCTTTGTGTGACCTTATAGGATCCGTCCAATTGGGCTTTGAGCTATTTTACTAGTCCAAAAATCGTTAGTACCTCTAGCTATGGTAAAACGACGACCCAAATGTACGAACTTAATTATCTCCATAATTTGATCCATTTATATATCTAGTAATTGCACACGGCGAAGACATAACTCCTTCAATTTGTACCACCATATGTATGATAATTTAATTTGCTATTATATGCTCACTTTATTTTATTTTTATTTTCTCAATTGTTCCATAAATTAAATTAATTAATTATACGAGTAGGTAAATAGAATGCATCCAAATCATTTAATTTTTGTGACCCTTTAATTTATTTAAATTACTAAACTCGCATTTCTATCAATAAAAATAGAAAAATCTCAAGTCACACCCTTTTTAATTACCAAATCACAATTAAAAAAAAAAAAAAAAAAAACCTTACCAAACTACAATTCTTCAAAAAAAAAAAAAAAAAAAAAAAAAAAAAAAATAAAATTAGAGAAAACCCACACACAAAAACCAAACCCCAAAAAGAAGCAATGCCAAACAAATATGGTTGTCCATTTGTCCAACAATGGAAACATTCATATGACTTGTAGCCTATATTATAGGGCTTAAACAGCACTGTGAACAAACCCTATAAATATCTACGACTGTAAGTATTATATAAAGAGAAAATTCATATGACTTGTAGCCTATATTTGTCCAACAATAGAAAAAACTACACACACAATTCAGAGTATGAGACAGTGTTCTCTTGCATATCCAAGAAAAGATACAAGCAAATAATAACTATATTTCTTGTATATTAGAGTTTCTTCGTCGTCTTAGGCGGCTGTTTTTTGGGGGAATTCTTCATTGTTTATGAAATCCTTAGGCGGCTTTACAATCAGCACAGGACAATGTGCATGGTGCGTACAATAATCACTAACGCTTCCCAGGAAGGCCCTGTAGGTACATCATTATATTCAGATCGATCAGAAATTTAGAATTATTTTTGCAACAAATAAAGAAAATCGAATCATAATCATTCATACTATATTCACATTATAGATAATTAGCAAACTAAATTACTCCTAAGCCCCTTCCACCTTTAAAGGTTTTTCTTATTTGAACGGTGATTATCTCACTCAAGTCAAAATAAGGTGAACTTATAGAGACAAAAGAAGTACTATAAGAATAAGAAATATAACTTTTCTTTGAAATTAAATATAATAATAGTGGAAATTAATACTAAAAATGTTGTTACTTTTTTCAATTAACTATGTGATTTGAATTCAACTAAAATATGTGTTGTTTCGGATGAAAACAATCGAATCTCGGAAGATCCTTTTATCTTGAGGGAACTTGGTCTCGGTCCGAACGACGCAGGAGCCGAGGGTTTCCTGCACAACAAATACACGTAAACTAGCCTCGGGGGGGACGCCGAGGAAGGCCCCTCCGATGCTTAAGTCAGTATATTAGAGAGAGAAAGCTGTGCAAGAGTTTAGTTGCTTGAGGCTTTATTGTCTTACCAAGAATTGACCAAATTGTTGGCTTTTATACCTTGGCTAATGAAGGAGGCGGATTGGGCCCGGAAGTCAGTTGGGCTGGGCCAAGCTGATTGGGCCGTTGACTGACCTTGACATGGCTTTGAGGATGTTGATTTTTGACTTTAGCACATTTGGAGAGTTGAACCTTAACCTTGGGCTTTTAATTGGATCATTCAGTGACCAGGCCCAATTGGACTAAATTGGACCCAAACAACTTGCCCCCCAGACCCGATTTGGAAGGATGACGGGTCGGGTTTGATTTAATCAGAAAAGGAGGGAAGTGAATGATTTGTTAATCCAAAAATGTGAATTTAAACCATAATTAACCCATGATTAATGAGATAACAACAGTTAATGTGGATAATTGCGGAAGTTGGACGGGTAGTGGGCGATTTAACTGCAAGGTCGTGTGTTTAACGGTTACTTAGTGGGGTGCTTGAGAGAAATTGAAACGCAGACTCCTTGAATTCCCATTTCTGGAGATATAAATAGAGGCGCGTCTTCTCTCCCCACTCATTCATCAACACAAACCCAGAATTCTCAAGAACGCTCAAGAGCCCGCATCAAAACTTCGCAAATTCCCCGAGCATTAAGCTTAGAAGCTGAGACTTGTCACTACCAATTCGTAAATCGGCGGCTTTTGCTTCAGATCAAGGTAAATTCCTTTGATTTTATTTCATCTTTCTTCGACTTTGCACTCTTTCCCCTTTTTCGACTTTTTCCTTCGAAATTCGTCAATGGTGAGGGGAGTTAGAGGTGGAGCCCGTGCTCCAAGAAGAGCAAGGCTAATCCCCGATCCCAGGGACAGGATTGGGACCTGGAATGGACGAAGGACAGAGTCTGACCCTGCTGAAGGGGTTAGGGCGACTCCCGTTTCTTCGGCTCCTCCTCAGAGAACGGATGAGCCGAGTGCTTCTGGACGGGACGATGAAATTCCCGCTGTCCTTTGGGATATCCTCCCTGGGTTTTCAGAGTGGGAGAATGCCGAAGTCGCTTCGGCCATGATAAAGAACCGCCCCTACTCATGGTGGGTAGAGAACGCCGATCAATATCGATTTGCCGAGCAAATTGAGTTGCACTACGGCATTTTTGAAGCTGATGGATATTGGTGCCGAATGCCCTCAGCATCCGATAGAATCCATCGTCCACCCCCGGGGTATGTGGGGGTGTACACGAGACAGCTTCAGTATGGGCTGAGGTTCCCTTTGGACGCATTCGTCCGAGACTTGCTGATCCATTACAACATTTCCCTGTGCCAGCTGACCCCCACCAGCATCCGAAGGGTAATGACGTACTTATGGGTCTGCAAATTCTTCAGGTACGTGCCGAACCTGCATTGCTTCAAAAGGCTCCATCGGCTAGTGCCAAACATTCAAAGTGGGCACGGATGCCATGGCTCTGGGTGGTATCGGATTGAGTCTCGGCCCCCGTTCCTAACCATGTGGCCGAACGACTCTTCAGACAAGGACTGGAGAGGTCAATGGATTTGGGTTAGGGCACCCACGGAGCCGAGCCACCCTTACGTTTTCAGCGCTCCCCGGTATCTTGCCGAGCCGGATCCTGATATGGGAAGTTTAGGTCCTCCCGAAGATAGCGGGCCAGACCCGAACCTTAATCAGCAGAACATCTTCGGCAAGCTGCCGAACCGGGGAGGCAGCGGCCGAATGCAGCATATCCCGGAGACTTGGCTCCCCGATACGCACTATGTTTTCCAAGAGAATATGCTGGCAGCTGTCGGCCTCAGCCGAAAGTTTAGGGATGGTAATCTTCTTCGGCTGGGGCCGAGGCCTTTTAATTATCTCTTTTCTTCTTTCATTTTGCTTTCTTGTGATGTGCCGAACTAACTGAATTGACTTCTCCCCTTTTCTTTTTCAGAACGGGACGAGACCAACGTCGGCATTGATTACGCTCGCCTTGGCGTCAACCGAGAACGAGTCGTAACTGATCGGGCTCCCCCTATCACTGAACCAAGGCGCCGAGAGGTTCACCTAGACTCTTCCCACTTCCAAATTGAGGCTGTTGCTCTGTATCAGAGGCAGAAGCCTTGGTGGAAGAAGAGGGATCCCTTGTTTCAGCTGCTGGAAGAAGAAGCTGAAGCTGCCCGTACAGCCGAAGAGGTTGCACGGGTTATTGAAGCTTGTGAAGGTGGAGAAGGGTCCTCCAGAGTTGCTGAAGAAGCTGCGGCTAGGGCAGCTGAAGAAGACGAGGCTTTGCTGAAGACCTCGGTGAGCCTTTAGACTTAACTTTGTCTTTCTTCTTTTTTTTTTTTTACTCACACTCTTCTTCCCCCTGTCTGTTACAGTCTGAAGAGAGTAACAGACACAGAGAAGGCAAAGCTCCTGTTCGTCCCGAAGATCAAATACAAGAGTCTTCAGACTCAGATATGGACGAGCAGCCGCTTCAGAAGAGGCGCCGAAGAATGGCCATCATCGGCCCGCATGACTTTCAGCGGAGGCCGATGACCATCGGCGTTGAAATAAGGGAACCCGAGGAAGGCAATGGATCGCCGAGGGTTCCCCGGCCACCGCCTCAATCACCCCCAAGGGCCTCTCCGCCACCCCCCGAGATGGAGGTGGATCAGAGAACTCCCAAACCTAAGGGAGAGGTTCTGGAAGAAGCTCGAGAGAGTGCCGCCGAGGACAAGGATGGAGACGCCGTGATGCCCAGTGCTGAGGGTTTCACGGCGGACATTGCCAGAGAGGTTGGGGCCTTCGTCCTCACACCTGAAGAAGAAGAGGTCACAATAATTGACTCTTCTGAGAAGGAGGAGGACGTTGAGCCACCCAAAGCTAAAGAGGCTCCATCGTCATCCTTCCCTTCCTTCCAGACGCTGCAGTCTGGAGAAATGGGTTTCTCGGCCCCCCGAATTCCAGTCCCAGACCACATCTGGGACCTCATATGGGGTCAGAACCGAGAAGGTGCTGCAGCCTACTTCGGCGATTTTGCTGGCCTGTCCGAAGTAGATAGGGCAAGGATTTGGTCGCTGAAGGCCACTGCTGGGATGGGCGAATCCAGCAGATCAGTTCCTGACCCTGCCAGGTCCAACCAACTGCTGATGATGCAGGTAATTCTCCTTGCCTTGATTTCTTTCTGAACTCAACCTTTCAGCTATTATTTTTTACTTTTTTAACTTGTGCCCCTGTTTTCAGTTCGTGCACAATCAGACTCTCACTGTAGAGCTGATTGATACCCTACAAGATAGGGTAGACGCTGCTGTGCACGAAAGGAAGGTGGCTGAAGAGGAAGTTAAGCTTGCTAAGCTGAAGCAAGCAGCAGCTGAAGAGAAGCAGCAGGAGGTTGAGGAGTACGGTAAAAAAGCTGCCGAAGCTCTGAAAAACCTTCTGTGATGCTATGGAGATGGAGGTTTTTCCCCCACTGATGGAAGGGGAAAAATTCCTCCAGGAGCATATGGGAGTGGACGTCTCCAAATTCAAGGCTGCTATTGAGAGCCGAATTCAAGAAGGAACTGCTGCACAAGCTGAAGTGCAGCAGCGTCTAGAGGCTCTTGAAGCCAGCCGAATGGCTGCTGAAGAGTTGCTCTTGGCCAAAGACGTCCAACTCTCAGAGGCTGCTGCTGCTGCTGAAGCTCAAAGAGCTAAATTCCAAGAGGCTGAGGATCAACTGCTGATCCAGAAAGTTGAAGTGGCCCAAGCTCAGACAAAGGCTTTCCAAATTCAGCAAGAGCTGAATGAGCTGAAGGGGTCCTCCTCCAAAGTCGCTGAACAGCTGAAGAAATCCAAGGAAGACTTGGAGGAGACCCAGAAGAAGCTGGCTGATGCTGAGGCTTTACTCAAAGTCCGTGTTTACACCCAAGAGGAATATGAGATGGGTTTCAGAAACGGATTCCGAGTATGCCGAAGACTCTGCCTTCATGCTGAGCCGAAGCTTGACTGGTCTAAATGTGCTGAATGGGTCCAAGATCCCGAAGACCCTCACATGAAGTATGCAACTCCAGCTGAAGCTGAAATTCTTAAGGCTGAGGAAGCCGAAGAGGAAGCTGAAAGACTGGAGTTGGAAGCTGAGCAGAGGGAAAGGGAGGCTCGGCAAAGTGCAAAGCCCGCCTCTTCTGCTGCTGGGGCTGAGGCCACCAGGGGACTCAACGCTGATCAGTCTGATCCTCCGGCTGAAAGCATAGGAACTCGGGCAGTCGTCTTCAGAATCTTGCGGTTCATCATGTGCTTAACTTTAGACTTGCCGCTTTCTGAGTTTTTGCCTTTTGTTTTTTTTTGCTTCAGCTTGCCTTATCGTACAACAGCTTATTATATTTTTATTTTGCCTGTACGTATTTCGGCAGCTGTTACTTTCCGCTTGTGGGCGGCTGCCGACTATTTTTGTAATTCAACATTTTTATTTCAAAGAAGTTCACTTTCTCAGCTTTCTCGTGTATTATTTTTTTTCTTCGCTTTACCAGTCTTC